CAACCTCATAGGGAAGCCCATTGCTGGGCCCCTTGGGAGATACGTGCACATATTGTACTGCTGCGTGGGCTGGAGAAAACTTAGTATGTAGGATGTCTCGGTATCTGGTGGGCCAGTCCCCTGCCCAAGCAGGAGATCCTGTATCTACAGGAGGAGCAGGATGTGATGGGGGAGGAGCTAATCTCATTCATCTTTCTGGCTCATGGTGAGCACTGAGGGATTCTGCATTCAATGAAATGACATCCTCCCTACAATGTTTTGTAGCTGCAGGTCACTGAGTCTCAGTCTCCCCATCCATTAAATGAAATGATAACGTTACCTGCCTCTAAACAGGTGGCGGAAATCAGGTATTCCAAATAATCACAGTTGGACTTAGCAGTGCTATATATATTTAAGGTATGAACCACAAAGAAGCTATCAACATTTACTGCTCAGGTATGCTAACATTGACATTTCAGTGGCTAAAAGGCAGTGTTATTTTTCTGTTGGACACTGTTATGGTTTAGATCTAAAATGTTGCCCAAAAATCTCATGTTCAGAAGTGGGGCCTGCTTGGAAGGGGCAGGTCATTGGGGGGTATTCTCATCCCCAGATCCTCCCTTCTCTCTCTCTCTGCTTTCTGGCCATTATGTGGTAAACAACTTTCCTCTCCCAAGCTTTTTTGCTTTGCCATTTCTGCCTAGCAGCCAGGTGACCATGGCCTGACCTCACTGAAACTGTGAGCCAAATGAAACCTCTCCTCCTTTAAGTTTCCCAGTGGCAGGAAAGAGACTAATAACAGAAAATTGGTACCAGGTATAGGATCATTGTACCTGATCATGTGCTTTAGAAACCTTTGGAACTGGTTTGTGGGAGGACTTAGGAAAGGTTTGAAGGTGCTGAGTAGAGAGCCTTAGAAGGCTATTAGCAGAGGAAACAGAGATTGATGGGAGATTCTGGGCAGAGCTCTGAAGACCAGAATGTTATTAGCAGGTTAGACAGTAAAGGCCAGGCTTAGTGGGTTTCAGCTGGGAATAAGAACTCCATAGCAGTTTGACTAGAGGCCATGTGTGCTACACCCTGGCAGAAAATTTGTCTTCATTTTGCTAACGTTTTGAGATTTTTCAGGAGACAGATTAATTGCAGTGAATTAATTGATCTGATGAAATTTCAAGGCAGTCTGATGTTCAAGTTGTGGCATAGGTACTGCTAGTTGCTTTTAGCCTTATTTATAGTGAGAAGCAGGAAAAAAAAAGCAGCAGATGTAAAAAGTTTTCAGTTTCACCAGAAAGGAAGCACCTTCAAATTTGGGGCAAAGGAGAGCACAGTTGGTGAAAAAATTAGCATTTTAAAAATCTAAGAACTTTGTACAGGCACAAAAAGAAAGATACCTTGAAGGGCATCTCAGGAATCAGCAAGATTCCATCCATAACAGGTTCAGAGGTGGAAAACGTTAAATCTTTCATTTGAGAAGACAGAGTCTAGGATGTCTACTCATTCAGGGGCATCAAGGGAAGTGTATCAGAGTTCAGCCATCCAGGCACTCAGACACCACTGCAGTCATAGTTGAAGGGGGCCCAGACTGCTCAAGATAGCAGCCCACCTTGTCCTTATCCATGTCGCACTGGTCTTTTAGGCACACAGAATGTAAGAGTTACTGGGTCAGGGAGGCTTACATGCAGATTTTAGAAGAAGGCCCGAGAGGCCAGGCAAAAATTTGTGACAGGGTTACAGTCCCTAACAGGTATCCCTGAAAGGGTGATTCTTGAATCTATGAGAGTGAAGCCAGAAATGTAGTGGGGACCCTAGGAAGTTAGAGATGTCAGGAACGTAGATCGCCTGCTGAGGAAACCCACAGGCAGCAAATAGAGCCAGCCCAAGAGAAAGGCTATATGGGCTGCAAACAGCAATGCTGTAGGGGTAGGGATGGCCCAGCCCTTTGAAGCTCACATCTCACCACAACCTACCCTGGGTGCTGGACATGCAGCTATAGGATTTAATGTTTGACCTGTTGGCTTTCAATATTCTTTTGGTAGATTGCTTTCTGTTCCCCTATTCATCCCTTTTGGAATGGGAATTTTATCCTGTGGCATTGTATGTTGGCAGTGTTGAACTTTCTCATTGATTTTCAGAGAGGTTCACAGTTAAAGAGTTTGCCTTTAGTCTCAGAGGAGACTTTGGACTTAGACTTTTCAGCAATGTTGGAACTGATAAGACTTCAGCAACTCTTAGAAATGGACTAGATGTATTTTGCATAATGAGATAAATATGAGCCTTTTGGGGATCAGGAATGCAATATTATGGCTTAGATCTAAAATGTCCCCCAAAAGTCTCACATTTGGAGGTGGGATCTGGTTGGAACAGGCAGGTCACTCGGGGAATAACTTGGGAGGATGTATTCTCTCCCCAGAGTCCTCTCTTCTCTGCTTCCTGGACACTATAAAGTGAACAGCTTTCCTCTGCCATGCTATTTCAGCCTTGGAGCTACCCAACCATGGATGGAATCCACTTAAACTGTGAGCCAAAATAAACTCTCCTCCTTTAAATTGTGGTTGTTGGGTATTTTGTTTCAGTTTCAGAAACGTCGCTAAGACTGACATTCTATTATTCAATACAGCAGGTAGTCTAAGTTGGAAGAATCCCCTAAGGAATTTAATACAAAAAGCAAATTCAAGAAAAGAATAATAGATCTAAGACCTTCACTCTCCAAATTTAGTTTCACTTCCTAAACTGACCTTCATGCAAAACAGGTTGCTCATTACTCAGGTCAAAAGACATAAAGTTGAGGTTTTGATTAGCCTTGGGATGCCCAAAGGAGTGTCTTAGATCATTTGCCAATGCATGTTTCTTGCGATATGAATTTCTCCCTGATCAAGTACCCAATAAAATGCAGAGTCACTCATTTGTGGTTAGATAACAAGAAGAAAATAAAAAATAAGAACTCACTTGATTTTTCTTTAGGCATTTAAAAAACTACCACAAAGGTGCTGACAGATGTGATTATTTCACTTACATCCATTTACTCTATCCAACTCTTTCATTCAAATGGTCACTGTGCCCCTGGTCAGGGTCACAGACATGCTTGCTCCCAAGAATTCCAAGAGGAATATAATATGGTCTGTAGCAGGAAGTTCACCACCTGATGGGGAAAGAGATGTTTCTGACAATAAGTGTGATACCCCTGGTAAAGGTCAGGCTGTTATTCATTCATTAGGATACATTCCATCATGCCACATGTGTACACTGGAGAAAGGGAGCCCAAGGGGCAGAGACTTGGGGACCCTGACCTCGATGTTTATAATGCTCAGCATCCCTTCTGTGCCCACCCCTACTGGGTATAAAATGCACCGTGTTGTCCATCAACAAAACCCATTACAATCAGTGCTTGGCACCAATAAATTCCCAGTTCTTCTATGTGTATCTAGATGCCTATGTTCCTATTTGAAGATAAAATGCCTTGAAGGTACATAAAAGCACTGCTAGCATAAAATTAATTTAACAGTGGAAATTTTTTAGTCTAATTTCAGGGAAAAAAACTTAAAAAAAGAAACAAATGTAGAGTCCAGATATTTCATGGAAAGGGAGAGAGAAAATGAAGGGGTACCGTGCCTCTAAACACTCTTTTGAGTGAACTAGATTTGAGCATCCATTATCTGGAAGGAATGATGGGAAGTCTGAGCCTGTGGAAGATCATAAATTTGCATTAATTTTCTCAGCATTTGGATCTTTTCCTGAAGTTCTATTCTTCCAATAACCTATCAAGTTAGAACCCAGATTCTTCAATATAACTTCCCCATGGATCTTCAAAGAAGAATGCTTTATAATTTTCATAAATTCAATTTTTATAGATTCTGAAGCATTCTTCTCTGAAGTATTACTTTTCAGACCCATATAGCTTTATTTAATAGATGTGATCTTCCTATAAGTCACCCACAAAGATCAATTTTATTATTTTGTACTTATGCCTGTACACATAAAGATAGTAAGCAGGTCAAAAGCCAAAGAACCAAGAATTGTTCTCAAGAGGAAATAACAAATGAATTACATTTTTATTTGTCCTATAGTAAAGTCTACTCACATTAGCAATTACTAGTTTCACACTAATGAAATTCACAGATTGTGTGGAAATGCTAAAAACATTTTCATTTTACTGTATCCACCAGTAACTTAAACCAAAGCAAGACATAATAAATAAAATAATTAACCTCGACAACGGAAATGTTAAGAACACCGCAATTCATTCATCTACTATGTGTCCATATCTGTTGATCTACATGTATTCATCTTATAAACAGGTCCAGACAATTAGAAAAATTAGTCTGGAATAATCAGGATGAAGGCTCAGATGAAATTAAAAAGCAGGCACAAATGCCTCTAAACTGTAAAGTATAGACATCTGGGTGGGAAATAAAAGGTTAGAAAAAGGTTATGTATGGACTAAAAATGTACTGGACCCACAGCTAATTATCTGGTGAATCAGAGATATTCTCAAAACATCATATGCCAAACTTTTAGATATTTCCACCATTAGCTAACAGGAACGATGCACTCTCTTCTCTATTAATGCATTTTAAAAATGAGTGTTGTAAAGCATTCTGCCCTAAAGTAGACTTTTATTTCAGATCTGAATTATTTTAATATATAAGGTCCTAAAAGAAAGGTAGTGATCTATTTTTTCTTGTAAAAAATGAATAATTTAATGTGAACTAGAGGGACTTAAAGCTGCCCTACTTTGAAGGCCTTAACTCAAAAGATCTTTAAACTGAACATTTGGCATTTCTGACTCTTGGCATTTCTTTTTTTGTTTGTTTTTTGGTACCGGGGATCGAACTCGGGTCCTTGTGTTTGCAAGGCAGGCAGCGGAACCACTGAGCTAAATTCCCGGTCTCTCTTGGCATTTCAACATATTGTTGCATGCTTTCTGTTCTCGGCTGCCTCGAGCTATTTCTGGCCAAAAAAATGTATTAAAACCCCGTTAATAAAAAGTACAACAATGAATAACCCTGATTATGGCCACTTACTAAGCTATTTCTACAGCAGCGGCTCTGAAACACGGTGTCCTTGTAGTAGCTGCTGATCACAAGTTCAGCTGGGGCGAGTCCTTCTTCCTTCCTTTCCTAGGGCTAAAAACCCTTGGCTTGGCGAAGCTTCAGGTCCTCGGCCGGCAGTCAGTGTTCACAGAGAACCGCCCAGGGCGCCCCGAGGACCGAGTCCCTTTGTTCAGCACCGCGGGGAGGGCGGGACCCGGCGGGGACGGCGGGGGGCGTGGCCTCAGAGGCTGGGGTAGGGAGTGGAGCCGCGGTAGGCAGGCTTTGGACCCCTCTACCCGAGCCCTGCGCCCCTGTGTCCTCCACGATCTCCGCTCCGTCTCCCCCTCGGTCCCCTCAGCCAGTCCTCTCCCGGCGCCCTGAGGGCGCGTAGACCCCACCGGAAGCCCCCACTCCCTTTAAAGACACAGCACCCAATTCTCGAGTCTCGGGGGGTCCCCGGAGCTTGGAGAGGCTGGGAAGGGGCTGCTGTCCTCGCGTATGCGTCATTCACCTTCCAAGACCTGGCTCGGGCGTCCGCGGCCCCGCCCCGGCTGGGAGGAGAAACCCGTGCCCAGTCCTAGCTGGGGTCCCGCTGCCCTGGGCTCTGGTAAGAAACCGCCCCGCAACGCCGAGCTCCGAACAGGGGTTCACTTCCCAAGGAAGTTACATCCTCTGCAGCAGTTCCCCCCTCCCCGTTATCAGCCTCTTTTAAATTTTTACTTTGAGACCAGGTCTCGCCAAGTCACTAAATTGCCCAGGGTGGGCTCGAATTTGTGATCCCAGGGATCAGCCTCCCAGAGTGCTGGGGTAACAGGCGTGCGCCATCACATCCAGCTGAGATCTCCTTTGTAAGACCACTCTTTGGAGAGCTGCTAGACCAACTTCAGGGGCGGGGGAGAGAAGTCTTGATTTATAGTCTTTGCTCTTTCAATGGCCATGTTGCCACCGCCGATTTCGAACTGCAAATAGTTTAACAGGAGCCGTAGGACGTTCCCGGATGTAACAGCTTTAGACAGGACCGGCACACACGTGACACTCTGCTCTTGTGTTATTGGTCAAGGCAAGTAACATGACTAAGGCTGCAGCCAATGGGCGGGAAGGAAGCGTCATTCTTAAAAGAAAAAGTGGCTGGCAGCAAACTGTACGGTAATATGATCCACCCTGACTGATTTGGACTTTTTTACCCCTTTGGTACTGGGGATGAAACCCAGGACGTGAATACCGAGCAGCACGTGCTCCGCCCCTCAGCTACACTCCTGGCCTGTCATTTTTTAAATGGATTTTTTTTCTTTGTACTGGATTGCAAAGTCCATTTAATGGAATTTCGAATGATTTCAGAAGGAAAAACTGGTTGGTGTCTTCAAGGGAATCATTACTATTAGGTTACCACTTTTCTTCTGGTCCAAAGGACATTCTTAATGTGGTCTAATGATTAAAAGTAAATGAATCAGGTTAAAAACATCTGTAAGTTTTAAATCATGTTTTAAAACATCATGTTTTAATGTATGAAAAGATTTTTAAAGTTTATTGTATCTAGCAATCTTTTTTAACAAGAAGCTTTATTTATTTTTTGGTGCTAGGAATCAAACCCAGGACCTCACTCATGCTAAGCAAATGCTCTACCACTAAGCTACTGGCCTTGTTTTTGTTTCTGAGTTATTTGTTTTGTTCTTTGTTTAATCCCTGGGGATTAAACCCAGGGCCTTCGTGCTCAGCTACATCCCTAGCCCTTTTTATTAATGTGTTTTATTTTGAGACAGGGTCTCATTAAGTTGCTAAATTGCATGGCTTTAAACGGACCATGTAATAAAACATTTTCATGAGCTCATAGAAGAGTTTTCACTATGTGTTGGTTATGGGAAAATCAGGATTTTTTTTTTAATGGTGTCTTACTGTGTTCCCCATGGTCTCCAACTTGCCATCTTCCTGCCTCAGCCTCAGAAGTTGCTGGGATTATAGGAGTGCCCTTAACACCTGGCTCCCAAAGCAGTATCAATAGGAGTCTAGACTTTCAAAAGACCATTCCTGCTCTGAAGAAGCTTACACTCCAGTAAAATGGAAAGAGGAAGAACGGAACACATGATATAAGAGGAAACTGTCAAGTGTGACACCAAATTGAGAAAGCTACATGTTTTTTAAAGCAGTGGGAAAGACCTGGGAAATGGAGGGACTTGAACTCCTGGCCTTATCCATTCATTATCCTAGGAAGTATAGTTTGGGTTTATTTTTTAAAGTCCAGAGAAAAGAAGCCTGTCTTCCCATGTTTGATCTAGTGTTTGAACTTTCTGTAATCAGAAATCTCTTCCTTGTTCTTTTAAAAGGAATTGTAAATAAAATTATATGTTTCAAATATCTACTAATTCTTCTTCACTTCACATTCTTTGTTCAAGTTTCAGCTTCAGTTCTTGTTTGGTCGTGGCAGTTCCCTGGATACTCTTCTAACAATAAATACAAAACTTTTCATTTTCATAAATGACCTCATTTATAGCCTCTGCTCTAGAATTTGGCAAAGAGTAAGGACCTGCCTTTTACTGTTAAAGCAGAATATTTGCTCTCCAGATTCGTCCCTGAAATTATAACCTTGAAATTCTCCACCTAATCCTTATTGATAACCCAATTTAAGGAAACGAGATTGCCTCAGAGACATGAATTGTAGAGCTATGTGCTTGAGTCATGTGTTCTCAGTACATCCTAAACATATTTTTGGTCTGTAGCTTTTCCATTTTTTGTGCTGTTTTATCTGGTTTGGGTACAAGAGTACTAATGGCTTCATAAAAGAAATAGAGAACTATTTCTCCCTCTTTTGTTTTTTGGTAGGGTCTGTGAAGAACTAGTAAAGGTGTGAATGATAAAGAATTTGTAAGAAATGGTAAAGGATTCTTTTAACAGTGGCTTTTCTTTGTGGGTCCCTTTTAAAATTTTTTTTTAATTTATATATTAATTGGTGCATTTTAAGTATCCAGTGCATTTACATTTATCATTGGGTGTTTGTACCTGAACATTATGTATCTTAGTTCTTATTTTTTTTCCCCATTACCTGTGTGCCCTTCACCCCCCCCCTTCCCTATTTACATAGACTTTGTTTCCATTTTTTTCTTTCTCATAATTTTTTCTTTCCTTTCTTCCCTTTCCCCTTCCCCTCCCACCACCCCTCCACCCTTGGACCTTTTCCTATCTCAAATTATCCATTATTTGTTTTAATCATTTTCATCCTTATTTATACTTTCAGTTTCTCACACTAGAGATACTATTTGATATTTACACATGTGTGTCCTATTTATTTTACTTAAGACTATGGCCTCAATACACATCCATTTAGCTATAAATGACTCTAGTTTCTCGTTCTTTACGGCTGAGTAGTACTCCATTTTATTAAAAAACCACATCTTCTTTATCCAGTTTCCAGTTGATGGGCACTTGGGCTGTTTCCAAACCTTAGCTATTACAAATTGTGCCGCTATAAACATAGGTGCACATATATCGCTGTGGTATGATTCTTTTAATTCTTTGGAGAAGATACCCAGTAGGGGACTAGCTGGGTCAAATGGGACCTCTAGTCCTAGTTCTTTGAGGTATCTCCATACTGATTTCCACAGTGGTTGCACCAGTCTGCACTCCCACCAACAATGGAGAAGGGTTCCTTTCTCTCCACACCACCGCCAGCATTTGTTATTGGTTGATTTCTTTTTTTTGGTACCAGGGATCGAATTTGGGTCCTTGTGCTTGTGCAGCAGGCAGCGAAACCACTGAGCTAAATCCCTGGCCCATTGGTTGATTTCTTGATAGCAGCGATTCTTTGTGGGGTGAGGTGGAATCTCAGTGTTGTTTTCATCTGCATCTCTTGAATGGCAAGTGATGTTGAACATTTTTTCATATATTTATTTGCTGTTTTTACTTTGTCGGAGAAATGTCTGTTCATTTCGGATGCCCATTTTTGAATTGGGTCTTTGAATTTGGGGGGTCTGATTTTTTTCAGTTCTTTATATATTCTAGATAGTAGACCTTTGTCTGAGGTACAGCTGTTAAAAATTTCTTCCCATATTGTAGGTTGTCTCTTAGCTCTGTTGATGGTTTCTCTTGCAGTGCAGAAGCTTTTTAATAAGATGAAATCCCAATTGTTGATTCTTTGTGCTAGCCCCCGTGCTACTGAAGTTTTGTTCATAAAGTCTTTTCCTATGCCAATGTCATTGAGAGTTCTACCTAACTTATCTTCCAGCAAGTTTACTGTTTCTGTCTTGATATTTGGCTCTTTAATCCACTTCAGGTTTAGTTTAGTGCATGGTGATAGGTATGGGTCTAGTTTTAATCTCTGGCAGGTTGAAATCCAGTTTTTCCAACACCATTTATTGAGCAGGCTATCTTTCCTCCAATGAGGGCGATTGGCTCCTTTGTGTGGGTCCCTTTTTGATTACTAATTCAGTGTCTTCATTTGTTGCAGGTTCAGATTATATCTTCTTGTGTTTGTATCTTTTGAAGAATCTGCCCATTTCATTTGTTCTCTAATTGGTATATAGTTATTACACAGTTGTTAATAATATTCCTTTAAATCCTGTTGTTTCTGTAAGTTGGCAGTAATGTCCGTGTCATCTGGTTCTATGTCTGCTTTCACTAAGCTGTCCCTTGAGGGGCCACCTCTCTGAAGTAGCTCATACAATTCATGATCAATGTTAGAGTCATGGTGCCATCCACGACAGCTGCCCACTGCGTCCCTTGTGCTTTCCTGATATGGCAGTGTCTGTGTCCCCTGAATGAATGGGACCTTTTAATTCCAAGGTGGATGATATAACAGACTGTTTTCCGGGCTGAGCTATAGGAAGGCTAAAAGTCTAATACAAAATCCCCACTCTCTTCATTTCCCAAGGTGGTCCTAAGGCGTGCCACAAACTGCATGGCTTAGACAGATATTTATTCTCCCATAGTTCTAGAGGTTAGAGCCAAAATCAAGGTGTGGGCAGGTCCATGCTACTGAGTTTGAGGAAAATATTTATGGAGGTTTTCTCAAGATGTGAATTACAGAGCTGTGTCCTCAGACTGCTCATAGCAGAGACCATTGATATCCTGCTGATAGCAAGGACCATTTGATAGCAGATAGAAATGGTTCTTCTCCTATGGGAAGCCTCAGAAATTAATTTATATTTCTCAGAACTATTAGAAAGAAATGGCTCAGAGATTTGCTTCAGAATTTCAGCTCCTTTTAAGAATCCATTAGTCTGCCTTTCTGCATTTGGCTGTGTTTTATGCCTCTATTCAGCATAAAGTACTACTTGCCTAAGCCTGGGGAAGGATAGAGGCGTCAGGGCAGTGTCCACCCTTGCATCCTCACATGCTTCCTATCCTGCGATTCTGAGACACCTCCTCCCTGGTACCCTCGCTGGCTGCTTCACTCCCTCCACATTTGCACTTCCTCTTAACATAAATGGAGGCAATGGGACAGTGACAATCAAACCTGTCTCTTATGGGACCCACTGAGAAATGCTCTTGTCTAAAAATAGGGGATAGGGCCAGGGATGTAGCTCAGTGGTGCCACCACCTGCCTTGCAAGTGCAAGGTCCTGAGTTCAATCTCCAGTACCAAAAACAAAAACAACACACACAAAAAACGTAGGGGATACTTTATAATAAAACTGCTACATCTTAAAGGAAAGTGGTAGGTATCCTAGCCTGTTTTCCTTTGCCATAACAATAGTAACTGAGGCTGGTATGTTATGAAGAAAGTAGTTTTATTTAGCTTACAGATCTGTTTGTTTAAGAGCATGGTGCTGGCATCTACTGAAGGCTTCATGGCAGATAGCAGAACAGTGGAGGGGGTATCACTGAGAGCATTGTGTGGTGTGTATGGAGCAGGTGCCAGGCTCTTCCAGAACAGCCCATCCTCCCATAAGCCCTGCATCAGTGCCCTGCCAGGGTGGTGCCCATGACCCAGTCACCTTCCTGGAGGTCTGACTAAACTTCCAGAAGAAGTAGAGGACACCGTTTTGGGGGCCATCCAAAGCTTTGGGGAAATCCTCTGTCTATGTCCGAACCATAGCGGGAGAGGGAGGGAGGGAGAAAGAGAGGAGGAAGGAAGGAGGGGAGGGGAGGAAAGAAGGAGGAAAAGGTAGAACTTCCTGTTCATAGTCACATGTATGTGAGTGTCCCTAGGAGAAACTTGTGCTTGGATGAGCAGAAGAGCTTGGAACAGGCAAGAGTCGTGGGTGACATTGCACAGCTAGCCTGGCCCCTTGCTCCCTGGAGGTGCGGGCGGTGGGGGTGGTGTCCTTGCTGCTGGTCTAAGGGCCTGGCTGGAAGGAACACCCGCAGGCTTATCTCATCGTGACTCCAGGA